GTGAGGGGCGCGCGGCGGGCGGGGGAGCGGCGGGCAACGGCCGCCAACGGCCCTTAACGGCCGCCGGGGGCTCGGGCGGCAGCCCCTTGTGCAGGGAGGGGCTCGCCGCCTTGCCCCTCTCCTCCAGAGCGCTGGGAAGGGGGTGGGAGAAGCAGAGGAGTCCGCGTGGGAGAAGCAGAGGAGTCCGGATGGGAAGCAGAGGAGTCCGTTGCGGCGCCTTGCAGCGTCGGCGGCCAGCACGGGGGCGTTGGGTGGTAGGGATGCAGCCCCGTTACCAGGTTGAGTATCGGGCTGCTCCGTCCCGGTCTCGGAAGCGGCTGCTGCCCTCGCTTTTTTCCCCAGCACGTCCTTCCAGCGCTTGGTGCTCATCTAGCTGCAAGCTGTTTGTGTTATCTGCAGTTCACTGATAGTTGAGATGTCACAGAAATGGCCTTGCAGTTGCCCTGGACAATGTTTTTACTGTTTGGGTTATGTTCTGAAACTGAGGGATGCTCGGCCTCGCTGTATTAGCTGCAGGCACTGCTCTTCGTGCATAAACCAGCGTGTTGCTAGTCCAACCCCCTTTCACTCTCTCCAGTTGCCAGTTTTCCCAGTATTCTTTCCTTATGTCACTTAGGGTTTGTCTGTACTGCAGAGTCGGTTTCAAGATGAGTGATGTGCTTGAGTTACTCTAGATAAAACCTCTGCCTTGAGTTGCTGTCCTGTAAAGAGTCGACTGTGACGAGAGGCAGCGCCTATAGCGCTGAGCCCACAGGCACCGTGCTCAGCTCCACACATCTCTCCCTGGGCGCTATGTTCCCTCTAGCCGTGCTACTTCGAAAAGTCTCCCAAGGATAGGTCATGATACAGCTAATTTGAGACCTGGCTTTACTTTCAAGTAGCTATGTTCTCTTTAAAACATGCCCTTTAACAGCTGCTTTATCACTGACCCAGCTTGGAACCCAACCAAGCTCTAAATCCAGCGTAGTGCCTGACCGTGTTGTGGGAAACGGGCTCCCTGGTGACTCTGGACGTCCAAGCCAGGCCACTGTCTGCACAGGACTCAAGATGACCAGTTCTGCCCCCAGCATCTCCTGCCTTCTTTTTCCTCCCATCCTTGAGACTGTTTCCTCTTAAACTGAGACTTCCATACTATTATCTTGTGCATAAGGACCCTCCCCTTGCTTTAGTCGGGTATCTTTGCTGGTCAATATTCATTCTGTGGTTCAGTATTTGACAAACTCACAGATGATTTTTCTCCTATTTCTGTTAGCTGGGTATCCTATCATTTCTGTAGGCTTCCTTTTTTAATGCCTGCCTTTTTCCAGACACTTCTGGACAAGGGAAACGGATAGTGATTTCTTCTCTTTCCTTTTAGGAATTCCTTTTAGCAGTGAGAGATACCAAGCTTTCATTTCAGTCTAGGGAAGGAAAAGGAGAAATGTAACAGACAAGCGTTTACCTATATTTTGTGAAATTAAGTTCCCAGTCTAGGAAGAGCATTAGAAGGTTTTCACCTTGCCCAGTCTCATCCTTTTCAGTGGAACATCTTTTGATGGATATTTGGATTTTTTTTTTAAGCAAAATGGGAGAAGCTCTGAAGCTCCACTCCCAATATCTTCCTATTTCAAGACTTTTAGTTAGGTTTAGTTAGTCCCAGATCTGCAAAAATTCTAGTCTTACCAGAACTTAAGTTGTCTAAGAACTGGTCTTAAGTTATTACCTTCTTATATGTGTAGCTTTGCAGAACAACCTGGGCTTGGGACGGTGTTTGACTTTTTTATTTTTCCTATAGGTGTCAGATATTCACATCAGTAGATTTCAGGATCCCAAGCGAGCTCCTGACTTTGAAAAATTCTGTACGGAAACAATCAATACAATTCAGCCAACGCTTGTATTAGCGACAGGTGAGCAATACAGAAGTATGAATTTCTTGCTGAATGCATTGTCAAAGGAAAAGCAAAAAAGCAAAATTCTTGGATCTCAAAGTATAATGTTAAAGATTTAATGTGTTTTAAGCAATGAAAATAGAATTACAGACAAAGATAGACTGCTATTTGACAGCATCCCCCTTCTTTCTGGTCTTTGTGGTGGTGATTCTAAGTCTGTGTCTGGAATGGGAGAAGTGAGCCTTTGCTCACCCATCAGTCATTAAGAGCCAGGTCCTCTCCAGGGATTTTGTCTCAGAACAAGCCATACTCATCTGAATAAAATCCAGCTATGAACTAATGTAAGATTCTTATGGCTGGTTTTCATTTAAATATATACCAAGACAAGTGAAATAAGCTTTGCTATTTTTTTCAACAGCTTATTTCTGCTTTTGAAATGGATTCAATTTGGTAAGCAATGTGAGAATACTTTTAGCCATTACTATAGGCAATAGTTTAGAATCTCAGACTACCCCGGGCTTTTGTTTCTACAGGTAGTTACTTCTTCTGCTTGTGTTTTTTTTTTTTTTTTAAAGTCAAGAATTGTAGTTAGTACACATCTTTTAACTAGCTATGCAAAGAGGTGTTAGATAGTATTTGGATCAAAAAAAATGAATAGATCAAATTTTAATTTAAACCTAAAAGATAGGAATGCAGAAGGTACAGAGTTTAAGAAAGCCTCTGTGACAAGAATTTTTAGGCATACCACATATGCAGTAACTTCTTTTACTTTGACCTTAGTAAAAGTGTTGCAATATCTTCATACTGCACTGATAGCTGGTTGTGCTTGTAGTAACCTCTTGTACCAGATGACTGGAATGTCTGTACTTCACACAGGAGACTTGCAGCCGCTCGCACTTAGAGGCTTGGATTGCATGCTTGCCTTGTTACAGTGTCGGTGTGAAATGTGTGGGCCTCTGGCTCTATCTCACCTATGTGCATTTGCAGGTGACTTGACAGATGCTAAGACAAGAGATAAACTGGGGTCTGAGCAGATAGAAGTAGAGTGGCAAACTTACCAGTCAATCCTGAAGAGATCCCGGGTCATGGAAAAAACCAAGTGGATAGACATCAAAGGGAATCACGGTAAGCAGGAAATGAAGCAGCCTTTCCCTTCCTTTCCTGAGATTACAGAACAGATTTAGGTTAAGTGAGAATTTTGAGGTAAAGTGTTAGTACTTATTAGAGTGTTAGCAGTGGTTATGAGTCATTAGAAGGGCTTGCCATCCAGGTGTCTGTCTTACTAAAGACACACTTTGCTTACAGGCACTGCCTAGAGAAGGAGTTTTCATTCTTTGCTGTTACCTGACAAGTCAGGGAGCAGAATGTGTCTTCATGTGCAACTCTGGAAGCTTTCTCATTTCCTTTTTCTTTCCCTTACAGATTCGTTCAACATTCCACACCTGGATAGCATTCGGAATTACTACAGGTACTTTCATAAGCCACACACACAACTGTAATATTCAAGGTCAAAATCGCCAAACAATGTTCTGTTTTTACTTGTCACATATACACTTTTCACTGACTTTTTTTATTGCCCAGGGCAATATTTACTTTTACTTTTACTTTTTTTATCTTTCCCAGTGACAGTTAGTAGAGGAGAATAGACTGAGAGAACAGAAAATTCTTTCCTCATTCTTCTGATCTCACTATCTTTTTTATAATTGCATTTAATTATAAATCTTGGTCCAGTAGACTTGGTGTAGTATAATGTCTCCGTTTTGGATCTTTTGAAATATATTGAAAAGATTTGGTATTTCTTTAGTTCAAAATCATTTTCCATCAGCCAGCAGCTTGAGTATTTCTTTCTACATCAGTGTAACTTCACTGATTGTCTTCAGATACCAGCAGTGAACACAAGGCACAATCAACTTTTTTTTCCCGGTGAAATTCTACTGTCTTGTCACCCTTCTGATTTCATCTCATGTTCTTTTCATGCTGATGGCCTGTCTTACATCTTTTTATCTCACAGATGCGCTATATATTTATCCTACACTGCTCATTATTTTATCGCTGTGGTAGGCTTTCCTAACAGCAATATTTCCATTTTATTTTGGCAGGAAATACTCTGCCTGGCGTAAGGATGGCTCTTTCCATTACATCCACACCACATCTTTTGGGAATTACTCCTTCATATGCATGGATGCTACCCTTAGCCCCGGCCCTAAGAGGCCCTACAATTTCTTTGGGATTTTGAACTCGGTATTTATAATCCTTGACATTATTTTTGCTGTCCTTTGTACTTCTGTAGTATATGGGTCTCTTTCTTTGAAGCTTTTTTTAAAATTGTTTTTATAAAGAAGTGTCTGAAAGTTTTGTGTTCCTCTAGAACTGTCTCTACATTAAGTTGTTATGCATAGTGGTGTCTGTTTAGATAAATGAATGTGTCACTTCTTAACATGTGTTATATCCAATACAAAACATCAGTTTTTGTTAAGAGCTCTGTGAAGATTTAGTTAGTTTTAGCAGTGATTTTGTGATTACATAAGTTGCTTATATCCTTCAAGTGCAATTGAAAAAATCCATTCCAATTTAATTCCTTTTTGCTTTGCTAGATGATTTATTTAGATGATTTATTGCAGATGGGAGGATTACTGTGTTACCGATACTATGTTGCAAATACTAAGGGAATAACACAAAAGATAATAGTATAAAGAAAAGCATACTTTTCTTTAGAAAAAGAGAGTTTCTGATCTTTTGAGACCATGAAATATTGTGTTTTGTTGTTGTTGTCATTGTTTCTTGTTAAGAAAACATTGATGCTGATGTTCAACTCAGATGTCATCTCTGATAATAGTAGTTTGCTTCCCTGTAATTTTCTCTGTAGTTTTTTGATCCATATTGTTTCTTCTGAAGTGCTACCCAGAGCTACTGTGTTCTGGTAAACAGATGCTCCATTCTGCCTAAGATAACAGCCTCAATGATACATAAAATGTTCTCCCTCTGATCTTCTCTAAAGGGGTACTTGGTGTTTCATTACTTGTTTGTAAAGCACTTGAAGATACTTAGATGAAGGGTGATCTTTGAGTGGCAAGTACAGTACTGTTGTTCTCACTGTTCATCATAAGCCAGACTGGGTGCAGTAGCTTTGCAGACCAATTCTCAGTGAGTTAAGAATGCACTCAGACCCAGAGCACCTCTCCTTGGCTGTGCAAATTAAGCCTTTATTTGTATATTGGTAAGGAAGCTTTACTTGCTTAGCAGCCAGTAACAAGAATCCAGACAGCATCATTTGCACTATTTTTTTTTTAACAAAAAGAATGGTAAAGAAAGGAGGTAGGCAGTAGGTATCTATAGCTTTGTTATGGATTAAAACTCTTATCAGGAGTTGCTCTTTTGTTCTCTTGTCCTGGGAGCTTCTTTGGACACTAAATAGTTGATTTTTAAAAGACTGGAAAATCAGCCACCCAAATGAAAGAAGCTTTAAATGCTGTGAAAGTGTTACTTTTGCTTAACATGTACAGCAGTGGCTGAGGAATGTTTTCAATATTCAGCAGCATAGTTCTTTCAGCTAAGTCCCTGAAGGATACAGTGCCCAGCTTCTGAGATCTGTCATGCCTACAGAAAGCCTTCTAGCAGTCCAAAAGATAAATGAGGCTAGTAATTGTTAAAATAAATGTATTTATAAAGTAGATGCAAGCATGTTTTTGAATAGGCAGTAGGAAGGACAGGAACATCATTTATAAAAATTGCTCTTTACACTACACTTACCTCTGATCAACTGAATGTGTTGAATGCAGTTTCCTTTTATTTTTCCCTAGTGTCTGTGTTTTGGGATATGGTTGCCTGTTTGGTTTGCCCGTGCACAGGCTCCTGAAGCAGTCAACAGGGCATTCTCTGTACACATACGAATAAATTTGCATTGTTAATTGTTTTCCTTTTCCTTTCTTTTTGCTATTTGTTCCACATAGCTGGAATGCTAAACAATTTTTCAAATGCCCATTTCAGAATCAAATGGAAGAGCTGTCTTTGATGGCAAAAGAAAGTCTCCACAGCAATCATACTGTCTGGTTTGGCCATTATCCCACTTCAACAATCATCTCTCCTGCGCCAGGAGTAAGAACATTAATGAGGTAAAATCTTAATTTATTTACTGCATCCTTTCAATATAAAATACATTTCTTGCTTCACTCCATAGACTTGTATGTCCTTTTTTTTTTCCTTTTTTCCTTTTTTTTTTTTTTTCCTTTTTTTTTCCCCCCAGTGGTATTTCCTTACCCAAAATGATTGTGATTCTTCTGCTCTTTTATTAGTTCTGCCACAGCCTATTTCTGTGGGCATCTCCATACACTGGGTGGGCTGATGCCCGTCTTGCACAGTCAGCACCATCATGGCACCCTGGAACTGGAGCTGGGAGACTGGATGGAAAACAGGAGGTGAGCTAAACCCTGTGTGGAAAAATTAAAATATGGAGCTCTCCAGCTTATTCTGAAATTCCCTTGTATATGCTGAAATTCCCTTTTATCCTTTTCAGAGATATTGAGAGCAGTATTAGAGCAGTCTGACTGGTTATTACTACTCATGTTTTTGCAAGCTATCTTTGAGTGTAAGTTGGGAATTCTTCCCCATGCTAGTTTTGTGCTAATAAATAACACAAAGTAATTTTTATTCATTCTAGATATTTAGATATTAAAAAAGGACATATAATAGTCCAGTTAATATGTTTAATATTCAAAATAGGTGACCTGATTGTTCAGCTAATACAGAATCAAGTACAGAACAGAGTAAATGGAAAATAAATCAGTTCTGCTTAGAAAGCCACTGTGTGTGCAGGACTTGATATCAATAAAACTATCTTGCTTTCATCTCAGGTACCGGATCTTTGCATTTGATCACGACCTCCTTAGCTTTGTAGATCTTCGCTTTGAAGAATGGCCTGCAATTCTCATCACCAATCCCAAATCCTTCCTTTATAGCAGCTCTGCTCATGAACCACTAGAAAAAATTCGTTACTCCACCCATATCAGGTACGCCGTAAAGTCTTCATTTCACCATATTTAAGTAGCTTTTCTTTTCTTTTTTTTTTTTAACCAATCAATGTACACAGGTATTCATGTGTGTGTGTTGTGTATATCTATAATATATATTTATTTTATTCATATACTTGTGTGTGTGTATATGTACTTTTGTGTGTGTGTGTGTATATATATATATATATATATATATATATAAATGTGTGTGTTGCTATTAGAATTCATTTTTCTCTTTAAAATCTTCCCGAGAGTTCACTTTATAATATCTATGATAAAAGCAGCTTATATAGCACTAAGTCATATCTGGTTTTGTCTTTTTCATTTGACCAAAGCTGGTAGAGTGTGGTCAACACCTTATCACTCTTATTAATATCACGTTTTTGCATTGCCTCCACAGATTTCTGTGTTTGTCTCTGTTTTGGGGGTATTTTCTCTTTTTGCTTCTGACTTTTCAGCAATTTGTGTTGTTCCAGTTTCTCATCCCTTGTATTATTAAAGCATCTATCCATTTCTCTATTTCCACCTTTCCTATTTATTTTTTCCCTTGGGAATTTATTTTTTTTTAAAATTATTATTTATTTAAAATAGAAGATAATATACATCCCTTCCCACTTAGCCTTTTCTTTTTTCCCTGGACATGTCCTTTCCAATATCTTGTACTTGCTATGAGACAACATGGGTAAAACAGATGCGTGTATTGAATACACAGAATTAGAAGAAGCTTGTCATAGTCCTTATTAGGAAGCAGTGCCCCTTGAGGCTACCTATTTTCCAACTTCATGTTTGTAATCTTATCTTAAACGTTCTCATGATATGTGAACTGGTAGTATAATTATATGAGACTTTTTCATAGAAGTGAAAAAACAAGTATTGCCAAAAGTGAAAGAGGTTGGCTATGTGTTATACTTAGTCCGTACTATTATCACGGTTTCTGTGAATATAAGTGCTACTAAGGGATATCACTTTTTTTTTTGTAACTCAGATCTGTAATATCAAGCTTGCATTCAATTCCATTTCTCATTAATTCAGTTACAAGGATTGAGGGGTTACACCCTGTCTAGGAAAAAGTCAAATGAAAAGAACTTTGGAAACAGACTGGCAGTTTTTAAAGAAAATGTCTATGAATGTCTATTTGATTTTTTGTGTCTGCATGTGTGCATGAAGATGCATTCTGCATGTGTTACCAAATGTTTTGACAACAAGAGTTCTCTTTGTTTTGTTTTGGAAGGGCTAAGATTATTTCTGCCAGGACCTGAGGATTCCTGCCACATATTTGCCTGTCCCACAGCCCAGTTTTCTACTCTATTCTTCTGCATATTATCATATGGAACTTCTTTTCTTAACTGTAAGAAAGAGCTACTGTGTTATCATTTGTCTACAGATATCTCAGCATTTTCGTTTCTAACCCTTTTGAATTCTTAACTAGAAGATAACATAATCTTTAGGGACTTCTCTTCAAAAATGGTGGTAGATCTGCAAGTCTATAAACAAATATGTTTATTTTCACTCCCTAGAATTCTGGCCTTCTCTCCTTCCATCATTACCTCTGTCAAAGTCCAGATAGATGGAGTTCACTTGGGGAATGCTCAGCAGGCATCCGGCCCTCTCTATGTGATGAAGTGGAGCCCACAAAACTACAGTGAAGGTTTTCATCACATAGATGTGACTGTCCAGGTGAGGTCACCGTTGCAGCTCTTTGTAGTGAGTCTTTATATTGTTGTGTCTGCTATATCAACCTGCTGCATCACATAAAGAGGGACAGAATATACATTAGCCGGCTTCATTTCATACTTGTCTGATTACAGAAATCAATGGATTTATTATATGAAAGGAGACAGACTGCCTATCAATGAGATCTTTAATAAGTATGTGGGCAAATGAAAGATTCTTGTTTTTCATGAAAAATATAGGACAGGACAGAAGAGCAAGTAATTGGTCCAAACTTAATTATCTAAAAGGTAACAATAAGCTTTACAATTTGTCTTGAAGTGCTAGTCAGGCTTGGTCAGGGAAAATAAAAAGGAACATCATGCATAATAGTTTAGAAGGCAAAGGAACCAGACCAGGTTGATTTTAGAGATGAGACCATTTCGTTAGATTGTTTGAACTACTTCTCTTGATCCCTGATAGGCGGATGGTGAACACAGTTTATGTTTTCCAGAACATTAACACTAGATTTATTGATAATAGGTTGCTTGGGTGAGAAAAGCATTTTGAACACCTCTGGTCTTGGAGCTATATTTTATTTTACTCAAATATTAGCTTATTATGTCCTGAGAGATAGGGTACATTCGTTGCACAAAAAAAAAAAAAAAAAAAAAAAAAAAACCCTAAAAGTATTCTGTTTAATAAATACGTAGAAATAGGGGTGAAAATGCACTACTTTATTCCAATTTGAAAGGACATTGTGTCAATTGTAATGTATCTAACAAATATGCCAAAAATGAGACCCTACAGAGCTTCAAAATGGTATTGTCTAGAATTGAGCTTCCAGGAAAAGTGTTGACTGTGGCCAGTAAATAGTCACTGTGTTCCACAAGTTACTGAATCTCTGAACGGGTCTCCTTCCTATGCAGCACTTTCAGATCATGCAGCGATTGCAGGTTATAGTCTAACAATCACAAAGTTACTTAAACTACAAAATTGTCATATAGTAACGCTCCATAAGCAGATGTATTTAATATAGCAGCATGCCAGCCATGAATGTACCAATCAGATCTTCTACAGAAATTGTTAGCTAGCTACTTGAAAATGACACAGAAATGTATTAATTTAGCATAACGGGAACTAATTTTGTTTTATTTATTCATTTTATTTCCATCTAGGATGCTTCAGGAAGAATTCGCACACAGAGCCATATATTTGCTATGGAAGAAAAACTCTCTCTTAGATTTGGCTTTTTGCAATCTTTTATCCTCCTTTCTGACCACTATGTTCTGGTAAGTACTGTCAGCAAAACAGCTTTCCCCAGAGACTGCAGGAGGCCTTTCCCTGATTCACAGCAGATTTGAATGCACTTTGGCTTGTTCAGGTGTTATTCCAGTGGAACTTCACAAATATTTCAAGGTTATTTTTTGCAAGCTGCTCTCCTCAAACATGAATGTTCATGCAAACAGCTGACCTGGACTTAGTCATGGCTGTCCATTTTTGGGCATAGGCAGATACATGTTTTGGCCAGGTAAGAAATGCAAAAAAGACAGCAGAAAAAAAAATAAAGAAAAATCACAGCATTTTTTTTTTTTTTTTTTTTTTTTGTAATGCATACTGGCAAATATAAGGAAAAGTTTTGCATCAGCTGCTGACCTTGTGGCTTACTCTAGCAAAGAGGAAGCAAAATTGCCATTGACCTTGCTAAGTTCCAGGCTGTCACCAAGTGTTACAGCTCCGCAGATGGGAAGAAGGCAGGTCATAATTGCAAAGTGCCTTGATGGGACATTGTGCGAGAGGCTGCAGTGGGGTAATTGACTTTAAATTGCTGCTGGTTTCCTTAATCAGTAATCAGTATTCCACACAGTGTAACTGTTAAATTATAGATCCATACAGCACTCAGTTTTGCAAGTTATTGTATATTTCCAGAATAAAGATACTTCCACTACAAAATTATTTCTGACTGAAATCAGAATTAGCATGAATTATTGTTAGTTGTATTGTCATGTACCAAGGCTTCCTGTTGCTGAAGTTGTATGCTTGTCTCTTCAGTAGGATATCACTCTGAAACTTTGAATGAATGTTTTAATTAGAAACCTTTGCAATTAGCATTCTGCCAATGTCCATAAGGCACAGAGGCAGTTGCTGCTGTTGGGCTGGCTTAGAGTTAAAAGTGTCTTTTCAGGCTCGCATGCTCTTTGGGCTGATCGTGTCCACTCAGATCGCCTTGCTCGCTGCCTTCCGATACCTCCAAAAACCAGCACTCAGAGGTATGAACCTGTGCTTCTCTAGAGGATCTGATTTCTTGCTTTTCTAGAGGATCTTATCATCTCAAGCCTATTTGTATTTATCTGCGTGTCAAAAATACAAATGTTCGCACTGTTGTTCACATTTATGCACTGTATCTAGTAAGTGTCATGGGAATGGATTTGGTTCTCAGAAATCTGAGGGCTATTTTATATTTAAGAGAGTCCATAAAACATCCAATACATCAGATAAAGTCCATTAAAAACTTAGGACTTCATTGCATATCTTTGCTTAAACAAGTACCCAATTAACTGAAGAATCATCTGATTCATTTTGATTTTTCTCACTGAAAAATCCAGCGTTTAGGGAAAGGAATATTTTATTTTGTATTAGTTCCATTTAAGTCTGCCTGTTTCATTACTGCGAGTGCAGATTTATTTTCCTTACTTTCAGCTGAGTGAGGAAACAGATTTCCTGCTACAAAAATAATTTTGTTGTTCTTTGCAAATGATACAGCAGGTTCCCAGAAATATTATTCATAGAAATAACACTTAGATCACTTCTCTCATAACTTGGTATTGTTTTCATGATAAATCTTTTAAGTGAAAATTAATTCCATTTATGCTTTAAACACCTGTTTGAACCACACCTTGCAGAAGAGATTATTCTGGAAACCACCTCCCTTCCTATTCGTGTCAGTGTAGGTGCCTTGACACCCATAGTCCCGTAGCATCCGCAGGTAATTATGACAGCTGCTTGCACGGAAGAGTCATGGATTTGCACTTGCCTTTATGGAACCCAGGAGCTGACAAATGAAAAGAACTAGACCTCCATGTTCTGCTAGGTCCCTGCAGGCCTCATCAAGCCTTTCCCAAATTAGTGAAGACGTTTGGTAGAGCTGCTGATTTCCAAATGTCCAGCTTGTGCTCTGGAACTTGATGAGAAGAGCTGCTGTGTAATAGGTCAAGTTCCAAAGGGGAGGGATATAGGAAGGCTCTCTCCTTCTCAGTCTATGAGGTGGCTCTTTTTGATTGAGAGTGGCTATCACTTGTTTTGCTGACATGACCAGCTTCTTGGCTGCTGCTGACTTAGTTGCCCAGCCTTCTTTTTATTTGAGCTTCCCTCATCAAGTACCAATCAAAGAAAAGCCATGCAATCTAGACCATGCTGACCTGAATGTTTTAGGTTTATGCATTTATTGTTCTGAATCTTATGCTTTTCATGCATTATTAACATTCTCCATATTTTTCATTCTAGCTAACTTATTTTTCTGGGTATAGAAAGATCATTGAGGTTTATTTGCATACAGTAAGTGTATTCATTTAAAATAGCAGCTTTTTCTTACTCCTCTTTTCAGCAGAGATTTGTTATATTTATCAGCTCCCTACTTTGTTATCACAGTAATAAGCAGAAATGTATTCACTTGCATTTGGGCTGTAGACACACTATATATTACTGATGAATTTCTTATTTAATAGACTAAATATTATGTAGATTTGTTTTAAAAGACCAATATTTTATATATAGCTGCTGCAACCTGAATTAAGTGCATTTTTCTTAATGTTGCCTCTATTTAGAACGGCCTGGATTACTGAGTCTGACCTCATATTCCCTTCATGTCTTCAGTAAAACAAACACCTTCTATTACTCAATTTTAATTCTGAATTTATACACCATTCTAGGTAAGTAACTTGGAATACTTGAGGACATAAATTACCTAATTTATCTGAAGCATAAATTATACTGCAGAGTCTAATTAAGAAGAAACTTGTAAAATACTGGATAAAGGAAAAAATGAAATTATAAAAATGATTTGAAAAATAAATAAGGTGACTGTTTGTTTGTAAGAGAATCTGACTTAGAATCCCTAAAATGAGTTTGATTTGAGATTCTCTTCTTATGCTTTGAACAGGATCTGGTTCTACCTTTGTATGACATCAGTGTGCAGAAGAGGCATTTCATATGACAAGTTTCTAAAACATCTTAGCCTTAATGTTACAAACTTTATTTTATTTTTCTCTGAAAATATGTAACTAGAGTCTTTCTTGGAAGTCAGGAAAACATGCATAACAGAGAGTGCATCCTGACCATTTTCACTTGCAATCTGAGCTAAGCTGAGATTGTTTATGACCTAGTCTTTCGTATGTTTTATTTTGAGGGAAAGGCCACCATTTGAAAGGTTCTTTTCACTTCTCTCACCAGGAGAACATTGTCTGTGGTATCAAATTGTCAGAGACAAAATTAGCTTAAAGCTATTCTCATTGCACAGCACACATCACTGATGGGCCGGGCCATTTGTTCATCAGGAGTGTTAATCAAATTAGTATTTGCTCAGGATCTAAACATTAGGTTTATTTACTAGACAAGTAATAGATAAGCACTTCCCCCAGTTAAGCAGCCTGTGCTCAGCCAAAGAGGATCATCTCTATATCATATTTTCTGATGGTCTCGTGTGTTTTCTTCTCTTCCAGGTCCGTGGTTTGTAGGCGAACTGGTAGATGGCCAGATGGGAGCCTGTTTTTCCTTTGGGGTGTTTGTAGGTGGTCACTTCTTACAGGGCAGTCTGACATTTGTTGTTGGGATTTTGCAGGTAAGTATTTAAATATGAACACTGACAGCTGCTTTGTTCTGGAAAACTTTTTTGAACTTTTTATAGTTTTAAAAAGAAGAGAATTGTGGAAGGTTAGAGATCGTGACAGGCCTTGCTCTTTCTCACCTTCCTTCAGATGTAGAGAGCAGGAGGGAAAGAGACTGTGCATATATTTCCAATACTTTTGTTTGACACTCTTTGCCTTGAACTGTCAGGACATCTGGATTTGAGACTGTCTCTTTCTCCCTAAATGTTTCTGCCCTTGACTTACACATAGGCTGCAGTGAATAATACAGCCTATTGCGCACTCAAAAAACCCTCAGATCACATCAGTAGGTGTCACTATTTAAGCAGCTGTGAGTCTAGCTTTTCCACCAGTCTGACCTGGCTGCCCTCTGTTCTTCCCCAACTGTCATTAGTCTGGAGGAGAGGGTGTAGTTCCCTGGTGTATAACCCAGACTAGACCCGCACTGCCCCTGTTACACTCGGGCCAGTCTAGTACTTGTCTGACACCACAGGGGGCTGGCTCAGGAAGCTAAACTGACGACAAAAAAAAAAAAAAAAAAAAAAGCCCTGTTTTTTGTGAGATAGATTTTTTTCTCAAGTTTAGTTCCCTGAACCAGTTCCACAAAGTATGAGGGTGTTACTCGCTGCAAAGGAGTAGGCAGGAGTGGTTGGACAGGGCTGGGGACAGCCCCCTTCCCCCAGCCCCCAGAATGGAACAGTGGCCCTTGCTCTCATCTGCCTGTGCTCTGGCATACATTACTCAAACGTCTGGCTTGCTTATTTTACTTATTTTACTTATTTTACCCTTGTTTTACTCTGCTCTTCTCTTTCAGCTGCTGTTCTTCAATGCGCCCTTGACGGCCTACCTGTGCTGGAGCCTGCTGCTGCGCTGCCAGGGCTGCAGCTTCCGCTCGCACGTGCAGCACGCGCGGCGTCCCGGGGCCCTGCTGGGCCACGCGGCCATGGCGCTGCTGCTGCTCTGGCACCTCTACTCCTGCTACTTCCTGCAGCGCACCTACGGCACCCTGGCTTTCGTGCTCTCCCCCATGAGGACGTGGCTGCTGCCCCTGACCTCCGCTCTCATTTATAAGACCTGGGCGCTGAACTCTTCCCAGCTCAGAACTTACATTGTGGAAATGAAAAACTGCCAGCGCTCCTGAAACAGCCCGAGTGCGCAGAGCTCTTCAAAACTGGGAAGCCACAACCTGTAGGGCTGTGTTGCTGAAATCCCGGGCACTAGCTGGCAAGATGTGAAGCTCTGCATTGATATAGAGCTGGGTAACAATATGTATTATACATTTATATTGTATTATACATATAAAGGGTGTTATACAGTAAACCACAAAAAATAATAAACCCCTATTGACTAAGCGGGGGTTTATTACGGAAAGCGGATAGTCTAGTCTGTATGGATCACAAATACAAATGTTTGATTCTTATCACTGTGAATGGAAAATGATCTTTTTAATTAATTAAATTATTGATTTTTATAATGCTGGGAAAAAATGTAGATCTTGTTAGTGAGTCCCTGGATCTGCGTCTCTTATTGAGATTTACATATATTTCTAGAAGACTAGCTATTTTTTAGGAGATGGATATCTACTCTTTATGCAGGTCTTTATAAATTAATGGTTGCTGCAAAGGTCCTGTCGTGGCTTTCACAGTTAGCACCCCGTGCTTACACTCTTTTTTTTCAGTCCCTCTTTCTATAGGCTGCCAGCTGTGCACATAGGCAGATGTACTCTGCCCCTTTTCTTTGCTTCTCTGGGAAATGAAAGGATATACTGGTGTACCACTGTAAAACTTAAAAGGCTCCAAATCTAATACCACTTTTTTTGCTGTGGTCTTACTTACATTGAGCATGAGAGTCAGATGTGCGAGTTCTACGTAGCTGATGATGTAGGGTGCTGCACGGCTGTGCAGGGTAAGCATGAAAATATAGGGGGCTTCTGAAGGCAAAAGCCTCCTTTCCCAGTCAATCATTAACAGGATAAAGAACAGAGGCACGTGGTGTGAGCAGACACAGGAGCAGATCCTGGCCATGCTGCTAACGTGCTCTACACAGTGCCAGCAGACATCAGTACCCTGTGTGCTTCTATTACAATATTCTGCAGGATACTTTGGCTTTTTTTGGTTGATTGGTTGGGGTTTTTTAATTTGCATGGAGAACTCTCCTTAAATATATTTATTTTCCATTCAAAACTACCTTAAAGTGCCATTTCAAATGATTTATTTGGAAAGAAAAAAAATTGGAGAATACTTTTCAAATTAATCATCTTCTAGAACAAGCACGTGAAACAGCTTCTCGTGCTGCTTGTTCATGGGAAAGGATTTTCCTGTTCACCAGCAAACTGCATCCTGGGGCTGGGACACATGCAGCAGAGAGAGATTCTTTCCCCTGAGTTGCCCCTGGAGCCCCGAGGGCTGACAGAGCTGGCAAAGGGGATGCCCAGGAGAGTGCCACAGCTGGACACACTTTCCAGCAATTGTCACCAGAGAAGGCCTCTGCGTGACAAAATCTTGGCATTTACTGCAGTGGAGAGTGCAGGGGAGGGAGAAAGAAGCTTTTTTTCATTCACTTTTCCCGCTATCTCTACAGCATAAATAAATAGAAAACTTCTAAGTGAGAGGGACAGCCCTCCCTGCTGGGGCTGGCACGAGAGCAGCGGCTGCGGCAGGGCACGCAGCAGAGCCGCCAAGGAAGGAGCAGCCTGATCCGGACAGGATGATCCAGGCCCCATGAAACTTCGGCACCTTCTCCCAGCCTTTTCCCCTCACAAGTTTCTCCTATCTAAAGAAATGACACCTCCCCATTCTTACATAAACACTACTGCTGTACCTTGTACTTTTAGCTTTCTTTGACTACTACTGACCTTCTCAGCCACCCTCACACCCACCCGTTCTGCTGCCACAGCAAAATTGGGATTTGCTGTCCTGAGTGTCCTTCTGGTTGCAAAACCCCAAGTTCCCATGGTGAAGCAGCCTTGACTCATTCCTGCTTCTTCCTGTGTTTTTCCAAACGAGTTCCCTGTTGCGTGTCACAGAGTGTTTCCTGGGTTTGCAGTTCATTCCAGCTGCTGTTATCCTTTCTCCTTACAGGATAATGTCATCTGGCTGTGGTTTTGTTCATCGCCTAGTGGTCTATTTATGCATTATAAACATTCCCACTTTAAAGTGAAGCCAGTGAAGGGAAAAGGCAGGGTGGCAATAGGAAACAGCCATAATAGAAGCAACAGGACTAAATCCTGCATTTGTTTCTCTACCTCTGCACTAAAACATAGACTAAAAGGATGTAGCTCTCTGCAAGGCAGCTGAGTTCCCTCTCCCCTCTTGTTACAACTGCTGTTATAAACAGCACCAGGAAACACTTTGGGAGCTGTAAACTGTTTTCTTGGTATTGCTGATTTTTTCTGTGAAATCCTGACCTTTAGCTACATGTCCTAGCTAAAAGACAGCAAGTTCTTCTGATGAGCAGGAAGGAACTAACAAGAAAAGAATCACAAGGAACTAGGAAAGAAAATAAGGAAAAGGAACCAAAAAAGAGAAGAAAGCAAAAGGGAAATGATCTCTTTGTCCAATGCCGTTTAACCATTCCTAGCATTTGCAACAAGAAATGCTTTCTGATAAAGGCTGCACAGGACAACTTTTATTACCCTATCACAGTCACCTACCTTCCGCTCTGCATTTGGAATTGCTCTCTTTCAGTTCATATCCTACACCAACCACCTCTGCAAGGTGACGCTCCAGGGTCTAATGCTCCTCACTGCTCTCCGTGGCCATCAGGGGTTTGCCATATGTCATTGTCACTTGCTGTTACGAGAGCTCCCCTCGTGTCTTAGGTGCTTGCTGTAGAGTCACAGTGTTACAATGCTAAGATAGGAAGGCAAGCTGAAAAATCTGAAAAATGATCTATGTATTAATGTACATATATACATATGTTAGTTGAAACTATTTTCTCCCTTTGGCTTTTGTTTACGATGAAGAAGTAACACGAGCTGGGATTCACCATTACAAAGGCTTTGGTGAGAGTCCCAGATGTCCCGGGTGCCAGGCTGGGGTTACTTCGGCACCAGCTTTTTTCCCACAGCCGCCTGGCTGGCGCTGGCAGAGCCTGCGCCCCACGCAGCTTAGCCAAGCGCGGCAGCTCCTGGGCTGCCCGGCTGGCAGGAAGGGTCAATACCCCAGCGTGAGCTCAGCCCGGCTGGTGCCTCACCTGTCACCTGTTCACAGGCCCATGCCCCACAGGCGCTACCGGCTGCTCTGCCAAGGTTCCTGTGGGGAAAGACAGTCCCCATTGTTCCTGGACGGCATCAGCTGCTGGGCCAGGCTGGAGCTCACCCTGGAGAGGGCTCTTAAGCAAGCCCAGCTCAGAAGCACAAAACCTGCACTTTGGACAAGCTAAAGCCACGCCAGGATATCTATGCGCCATGAGCTCACTGCAGTGTAATTACGCCTTCAGCGGGGCATCTAAAGGGATAGCAACATTTTCACCCCTTTTCAGTGGTGATTATTGCTGTAATGCCTGTCCAGCTCCCAAACCCTATTTCCACACTAGCGGCTTCTCAAGTACATCTCTCTTACCCTGACTGGTTAATAACTTACATACAATTATAATATTGCTTACTCCTCATGTCCACAATTAGGTATGCTCGGGGAAGGGTCTTCATCTGGTCGAGGGTCTTTTTGACCTATCGACATGAATTGAATTTTGGTATTAGAATGAAGACAGATCACTTAAGGAGACGTGGACCTTGGGTTTTCCTGCCAACTTTGCAATGTGTACTAAACATCTTGGTTTTAATGAGCAGTTCCATGTTGTCCTTGGTTAAAGAAGGCTGTCTGTTCTCCTGATAAGCTTCTTCCCATCCTACAGGGGATGGGAAGCTGATCTGCTTCTTCCCATCCTGCAGGATACAGGGGACATCTGTTCAATTTAGTTTAAATCATCCTTCAACAATGCTGCTGTCCTCATTTGTAAAAATACTCTTGCACTCATCAAATCTTCAGGAGCAGTAAAACTTGAGCCTTAAGTAAGATGAGATTCACTGCAGGGGCATGAAAGTTTTCCTTTATTATTCATCATATACATGAACTGGACCATTTTCTTTAGCATTCAGATATTTGCTTTAGGAATGAACTTTAAGGATCACAAGGTTTGTTTGAAAAGATTTAAGGCCAGGTTGCCTCCTGATAAATTCCCTGATAGAAAAGGAAGAGGGACAATTAAAGCACATGATGGGAGCCCAATCACTAGCAGTGAGCAGCTGATTCTGTCTGGAAATGCTGTTATTCCCATTAACTCCCTCCTCTGAGATCCTCAGCGGCTGTGAAGGGAATGCAAGTCTCAGCAGTGTTGGTGCTCAGGCCAGCGTATTCCCCCATCTACAGCTTGCCCAGTTTTCAGCCTGTTACTTTCCATGCCTTCATTTGGCTGCTGAGTTCTCATTGTTTTTATTACACAGAGCCAAACCACAGGCTTTTATCACAGTGTGACATTGTTATTTAATAGCATTTGAGTTACACTGAGGCTGGATTCACAGCCCAGCTGAAACTGAACCAGTCACTGCTTGCATAAACGGAGACTGCAAAGCTGAACATTTTATATCATCCAAAGCCATACTACACATGTCCTTTTCTTCCGCAAAAATCCGTATCAGTCACTGAAAACTGCCCTTTTTTAGACCATTAGAAAATGAAAGGAATGCTTTCTATACTGTCATAACAGTATTCAGTTAAAACAGTACAGTTACTGTTAAAACAGTATAACTGTATACAGCAAATTTGATATATCTTGTCTTACTTTCCACACTACCCAGATTCACAATGCCAAATTTCTTTCTGCCCTAGTTATTGGATTCCTGGGCCTAAGCACATTTAGAGGAGGGGTCCTCTGGACAGTTCAGCTGACCTTACCTTTGGAAATACTCCTCTTAAAAGCAAACAAATGAAAACAAAATCAATCTCTTGTAAATCAGAATGTGTCGTGAATGATCCAATTGTCTAAATTAAAATGTGTTAATGTCTCTAAAATTACATAACACTAGAATTCTCATGTCTTTAAGATAATAATCTATTTTCTTTATGTACTTAATCTTATCATTCCCTTTAGGCTGGGAATGTGCTCATCAAACACTTCATCAGTCCCGTTCCTGAGCTCAGAAATGGTGACTCATTTCTTCACGGTTCCCTGTTAGGATGGTAAGAGAGCACTGGTACACAGACAACCCTGAGCAGAAGTTAGAGAGAGACTGCAGCAAAGTCAGTTAACAGCAAAGTTACTATCTGGCCTCGGGGAGTTCTTTTGAGTCTCTCTCTCAGTCGCCCTGGGAAGGTGTAAAAAAATGGAGCAAACTAATGAAATGAAGGAGATTATCACAGAAATAAGATTCAGTAGATTTTTAAACAGAAAATATTTCTTTTTAAAGAGGTAAATCTGGAGAGTAAAGAGTCAGAAAAGAAAATGAATAAACATTTAAGCAGCAGGCTAGCCCTGAAGCCTAATCTACAGATGACAGTTCCATGCAGAGAGGAAATGGAAATGAGATTGGTTTTGAATGCTCTGAAAATAAGGTATACAATACAATGTAGAGAACTGGACAAGCTAAATGCGCTTGTTCATTGCAATGATCTGTAAAATGAGAACTTTTAGAATTCTAAGATAATTAGCCAGCTGACTTGATTGGCAGGGTAAACTTACAGTAGCCAATTAAACATTCCTAGAAAAGTTTCTGGGCCCTGAGAGAAACCAGAAACTTTTCCTGGTTCTTTTGAGTTTGCCATGGTAAGCACTGCTGTAACATCCCAGTATCATTACATTTAGAATACACAGAACAACTTCCTTGTTATGAGAGATAGGATCAAGTTCATTTTTTCCTGGAGCAATGATTTTTACTTAGAAACTGAGACAATCTGTTTTCCAATATTGCCTCCATTCATCATGGACTGGAAAGCAGCTTCAAAAGAAATAAAGAAATAAATTAGTGCCAAGTAAATGTGCCAAGTAACTTCCTTTTTAAAAAAGAATTGTAGCAGCAAAAATATTAAATGGTTTCTGATAAAGGAGATATCATGTTTTGGACTTAAACATATTTATCTTTCATGACATACTAAAAACGTTAGCCAGTGAGAAACTGCTAAGGGCAGTTTTATATAAGATTTTAAAATTTGATTTGTAAGCACCAGTTCAGCCTTGTACAGGCAATGATTACATTCGCTGCTACTGTGATTTACTACACAAATGTGAAACACAAAGGCAAGGCATGACTTGAGAGCCCCAAAACGCTGTGGATTCCACAAGTCTGTGTGAAAGGAAAAGGTTTCTATAAATATTCTGTTTTGTGCAATAAACACGGAAAGCTGATGCAAAAGATTAATCTCTGAATAAAGAAAATATGAAATATAACTACTGTATTTGATCAAATTTCTTCAAAATGCAGATGTATACCAGTAGGTAGCAACACCTTTCCAGACATAAATCCGTAAAAACTTAGCTTTTTAAATTTTTTTTTCCTTTTTTTTTTTTTTTTTTTTCTGTAATCTATGATACTAAAGGCTAAGGGGGCTAAATCATACCCTTGCCTGTATGTGAAAGGGAGGCATTTCTCTAGCATATCACAAAGCATTTCAAAGCCTGGTGAAATACAATCCCCTATTTTTTATTTTATTAAAATATTGAAAGCATGTTTTAGGCACAAGAGGAAGTTGGCCTCCTCTGTCTGATGCAGCATTTAATCAAAATCTTAGGAAATGGTGTAAAATCTTACCACCAATGTTCTCCAAGCCATCTACCACAGTCTCCCTGACCTGTCAATACAAGCAAATCCTCTTACTTGTCTTCAAACAAGATCAACATTTCTCAAAAAGGCATCTCTTTGTTACAGAAGTTACCGAAAACTAAAAAATTCTCTTGCCTCAGTACACAGTGATCTGTTGGGCCAGTTCCTTCATCAAGAGTAATTTTTTTTTTCCTTATAAACCCATAGGCAATTTAATCCTTCTGTCATAACTGAAATATCCTAACTACCAAATTTCTTATCTTGGGATGCAAACAAGAAGATGAAGTCCCAGGAGAACTAACCAAACACCTGAAGAACCATAAACATTCCTTACAGGGCACTGATGGATATAACGTATTAAATGGTGATTTATCTACCCAAAGTATTAAATGGTGATTATAAAGCTTGAAGCAAAATTTCAGACAAGATCCCCAAAAGCATTCAGGATGCTACCTAATCAGGTATTGAAAGTCCCTTAAAGCTCCCAATCCCTCGCATCCTATGTTGAAAGAAATAATTCAGCTATTAGCAAAATGTAGCTTTAAAAGCCTGTCATACTATAGCCACACGATCCTCAGCAGGTATTTTCTGAAATAGTCCCACTGTAATAAGCTTTCAAGTGCACCTTGACATTCCTAAGCAACTCTGTTCAATTCAGAGGCATGGGAAGAGAGACAGGGGGACAAAATTGAAGCTCCTGTAGTCAGGCCACCATCTGAGTAGGTAACTCAGATGTAACCAAAGGTAATCAAAGCCCATGGATTAAATGTAAAAGTTCCTACCTTCAGTTTACCTTCTCTGATCCACTGACAGAGCTGTATAACAGAAGCTTCGTGTTTGTCCATATAGTTCAACACCAAGAACCTCTCCCTGTGAAAGAAAAGAGTGAGCACTGCTTTAAAAAAAGTTGGTAAAGCATTTTGAAAGAAATTTTTTCATTAAGAACATGACATTCCTGAAACTGAAGGATTTTTAGTACTAATTACAATGAGACAGAGTGTGGAGTTTTGCAACCTTGTTGAGACAGCTCAGAGCAGCAGGAGTTTGAGATTAAATAACAAGGATCTTCGTAAAGGACTTCTGCCTGTTTCAAGAGAAGAGAGTAATAAAAATCTGTTCTGACAGAGGAATGAGCAAAGTGCCAGGGACAAAAAGGGATTTTGATTAGAGGCGGTCAATCTTGTGCAGAAGACCAGAAGTGTCCCCAGCTTCCTGAAATACCCTGACTGGCAAATCCCCTAAAACCTGGTTTCTAATCACTGCCCTAACTTCACCAGAATTAAAGATGGGAGATTCAGCAACTCCCAGAGTCATGACAAAAATCTTTTACCCGTATATATTTGTCAATACCCATTATCTAATAAAACCCAAATATTACAAAAAGAATCATGTAAAGAATATATCTGGAACCTAGTGGCAACTGTTGTAGGAGAAAAAATACCTTGTGATATTCCTTTCTTTCTGTACTTTTTCCACCTCAGGAGGCAGTGGTGGAGGATAAGGTACATCTTTGTTATACTGAGAGATCTGTCCACACAGGATTATATGGCTGTTCTGATTCATCTGTTTGAGACAGCACAAGTGAGAAAAATAACTTTCCTTGGTGTTAGGAATCACATTATCCAGAGATGTGTTAGAATATATTGTAAAACTTCCACACAGGCATCTTTATTCAAAGCCATTTTTCCCAGAAAAGTAGGAGAAAAAGTATGAGAATTGTGCGCAATCCCGATTAACCTATAAGAAAATTAAATAGATACTGTGGATCTATTTAATCCATAATCCACAATCCTCTGTGGATGTAATTGTCAAGCACTACAGAGCAGAAAAGAATGGTCACGATTAGGGGCTCCCACTGATGGCAATGCCACCAAAGCCACCCTATGAGGAGACAGACACTGAAGTTTCATATTAACAGTGAAGGGGGCTGGTAAAGGGCTTTTATGGAGGGCCAGCAGGGCCGCTCTTTCCTGAAGCCAGGAAAACAAAATTGACAAACTACAAGATTACAGACAAGATTTTTACAGTACTACCAGGTCTGCTGCCCAAAGAATCAAGAGATTAGAAGTAGAAACTGTGTTTCTATTTCCAGGCTGCCAGACTAGCCTAGCTGACAGACACTAATTTCAAAAACTTGAAGTAATTCTTCTTGGGACCTGGATCAGCACCAAGATGAGATCCACAGAAATGGAAAGTCGATTCTGCCATAGCGCAGGCTGGTCTCAGTCTGAACCAGCTCCAAGATGGGCACGAACACTTGGGAGAATGATGAAAATAAATCTGGCAGCTGGTATAATCACCTGATTTATAACTGCATCGCTGATGTCTCCACCAACATTGTCAAAGTAAACATCCACACCACCTGGGCAGAGTTCACGTAGCTGCTCTGCCACGTTCCCTTTCTTGTAATTGATAGCAGCATCAAAGCCCATTTCTGAGACCAAAATGGAGCATTTCTCATCTGTGCCTGCAATCCCCACGACTCTAGTGCAGCCCTCCAGGCGGCCAATCTACAGAAGCACAGTTAAAAAATAATGAAACAAAATACAAGAATTTAGATCATTCATCTGCCCAGGCACAAAAGGGCAATATTAATGGCTCCTGAAGATACTCTCCATTCTACTAAGTAAACCCCCCAACAATTAAGTACACTGCAAGCTTCCACCTTATGTGACGTTTCCATTAAATATCATTTTGTTATTCCCTCCCCACACACAGGGAAAAGGCAGATACCATCCAGTCTGCTCTCTTTCCAAATAACATGTAACATGAGATAACATGAGTAACATGTAACATGAGATAATGTCACCATCTGCCAAGTACCGTAACTCAGTGAATAAAGGTCAAAAAGACTGGAAAATAATTGATTTTAATGCATTCTTTATAGATTTGCTTGTACAATGTTGCTTCCTAACTCATCTTAAGATCTAAAGCTTCCTCACTACTTGTTCTATTTATATATATATATAAAATATATATGTAAATACATATAAACACACATAAACTTACCTGTACCTTTTCTGCAAAGCTGAGGAGGATAAACAAAAATACAATTTACTAAAAGATTTTAACTCTCAAAATACAAAGAATGTAGCGGGAAAAAAACACAAAGAAGAGTTTTCTACAATTTTCACTACATTCTAACACAGAAATAAAAGTTGCCATTCAATTCAAAGATTGCATCAAACAGCAGACTAATAAATAGTTAAACACTCCATACATGTATTTACACCATCTACTTATGCTAGTTACAAGTAGTCATCTCCTTGGACAGTTTTGCTCTCATGCAGTTGCAGGAAACTGAAGTTTCACACCTAAAAACTCTCTCATGAAGTTCTATCTGCTTATGTCCATAATGCTTTTACCTGTTTGTCTACTAAGGAAAATTGTCTTGACAGTGAGGGTGACAGAGCCCTGGAACAGGCCACCTAGAGAGGCTGTGGAGTCTTCTTCTCTGGCAATCTTCCAAACTCACTTGGACACAATCCTGTGCCACGTGGTCTAGGTGACCCTGCATGTGCAGAGTAGTTGGACTGGATGATCTCTAAAGGTCCCTTCCACCTTAATGATTCTATGAGAACCAGCACGTTTCAGAGGTGCCCTTTGCCCAAAGTGCCCTTTGTAGGTCGCAAGCCTACTTACCTGGCCAGCCAAAGAACCACAAGCTCCAGCTGCGCCGCTCACCACCATGGTCTGGTTGGCGCCGGCGCTCACGTGCCCCTTCTCTTTGATGCCCAGCAGGGCAGTCAGGCCTGTAAGCCCAGCGGGGCCGAGAAAGAAGGAAAGGTGCCCGTCTACAAGCTGGGGAACAAGCTGCAAGGCAGAAACATGGGGTGCTGTTCACTTCTTTTAAAGGTGGAGTTTTGCTGCTTGTTATTTGGTTAGCTGGCAATATATGGCTCTGACTCAGGGTATTCACAAGATAAAGTGCAAGCTAGTAAGGACAGGCTAGCTTTAAGCTAGCTCTACCTTAAGAACAAGTTTTTGCAAAATGAAACAAAGATGCTATTTCTATATTCTTGAAAACATTTCTAAACGAGGTCACTCTCAAGAACTAAAATTATGAACATGTCAAAAAGTGGTTGAAAGAGAATTCATTTCCAACAGAGCTGAACTACTCCTATGCCAATATAAAGGACAAAATAGAACCACTACCAAACACTGGTATTGTGGATCAGTTATACAGAGAGCCCTAAAGCAAATTTCTTGAGAACCATATATCCTCAAACTCCAGTAATTTTCTGTGTCACATGAGGATGACAAATACATATACCTAATGATGAGAAATGTACCTAATGTACTGTTGGGTCTCTCTGGAAATACTTGATGTTGATTACCCTTTCTTTTATGATTGGAAAATGTCAAGTACCAACTTTCACTAGCATGTCCTTTCTGAATTACATATATCTAAAGCACTTTATGTCTTAGGCCTACACTCCCATGGATTGATACTTCTATCTAGAATTGAGATAATAGATACTAACAGAAGCAGCTAGAGGGAAATTTATCAACAGTTTTACAAGTGAAATAACACTGACACGTCTGATCACTATCAAAGGCATCTTAATTTCTCTTCCTTAAAAATAAATAGAGAGAAATTGATACGTATTTTGCCACATGTGAGTTGACCTGCCTTTTGAGAACTGTTTGCTTCAATAAAACACAGAGCTAGGACAATCTGAGGCTCGGGGGTTTGCATGCACATTACCTTTTGAAGCAAGCTTCCATCTAGAACAGCCACTGTCTGCCAGGGCCATTTGAAGGAAGTTACAAAATCTCCTTTAGCAAAGTTGTTGTGCTTGCTCTCCTCCACCACGCCAATGCCCCCACCATCAGCAGCCTCAGACAGCTGCCAGGGCAGCAGGTAGTCTGAGCCTGTATCTTCATTCATTCGGCAGCGCTGAAAGATAAAGCCTTAGTGAGAAAGTTCTTGTGGAACACACTGTTTTTAAGGTCAAGTAAATCTTGAGATGAGATCAGTTCAAAACATGAAACACAGAGGGCTACACAAAAACCTGGCCAGTGAGCACCAAATATTCATTTTCTTAGATCGCTTTTTCCCCACTCACTCATTCAATAGAAAGTGAGAATAATTTTAATCCCCTTCAGCAGAGTTACCAAAGCCAATGCATCCAACAGACACTGCTTCAAAAGCACACTAACTGAAGAAGATTGGCTTGAGTCTGAAGAGAATCCTATCAATGCCATTCTTTAATCAGGCAAATCATGGAAACATGGGGTTGAAACCAACAGCTAGAAGTCATCTAGTCCTTCCACATACAATGAAGAAGAGTCAAAGATACTTAGATTATTCCTAAGAGATGTCTGTCTAATTAAACATTTTGAATTTTTTTTTATCTTCCCATGTAGCCTGAATTAGTATTCCAATATTCTTATACTTTGCATTAATGTTCAAGATAAATCTACTTTCCTGGAAGTAAGACTATTCCTTTTCTTTCTTTTCTTTCATCTATATCAATATGCAGAACAAATGATTATCATTTTCTTTATAGCAAACTTTTGTATACTAGCAGACTGGTCTGTCTGTTCTCCTTTGCTCTTTACAATCTTTAGTTCCTTTTCAATCCACGGCTTCCACAGTTTTCATAGGATCAGTGCTGGTGATACATATACATATACATATATATAAAAAATAAAACACACACATGTATACATACATATGTATATACATATATGCCATATATTAATGCCAAATTCCTTCCCAATATAATTTCATCAGAAGGAACTGATATACTGATTTATACCAGAGAGACATTTGTCTCTACACCTGATAATGTTAATATTAAACACGGTGGCAGGTACAAAGGTAGAAACATTTTTTTAAAAAGGATTCTCCTAGCTTAACTATTATATCCATCACCTACCATGTAGGGATCCACAGAGAGATAAAGGGTTCTAACACGGACTTGTCCCTCTTGAACTGTATCTGGTATTGTACTTTGCTCTAGTCGGAAGTTTTCAGCCACCGGCACTCCATTTTTACCTAGAATTATTTTAAAATTAAACAAATAAATCAGGATAGAGCTTCCTTAAAAACAAATGAACAAATGTCTTTTCCTTTTGATTAAGGATAGCCCTTTCTTTTCAATAAGTAAGCTTTTTATTTTAACCAGTTTATATCTACTCAGTAACTTTCAAATTTTGTATCACAAAGTAAACTTAGACAGGAGCAGCACCAAACTGAAGACCTCCAACACAAACTAACCAGGAGCTCTTGGGGAGCTTCTTTATGCTTTGAACGTGATGCTGCCTGCTGCTGGGAAGAGTTCTGGGCCATGGGGATCTCACCGGACACCAGGACTCTGCCGGCTCGGCACGGGCTGCCCAGGCCTGCTGGGGAGATGTGGGCGCAGCTTGCTTGCTGCGAGGGGCACTGGCCCAGCAGCCAGCGACCCTGCCCTTCAGTTCTGCTCTCCTCTCCTCAGCAGCACAAAGCACCCTGACTTCTTGTTGGTCAAACAAAAACTGCAGGGATTAGTGACTCGTTACCTAGAAATCTGAAGTGGACTAATGACATGTAAATATCTCCTTGGGTTCATAACATATTACCAAATTACTTACAAGTCATATTGCATATTCTGTACCCACAGATGTATACTCAAATGCAGCTGTGCTCTGAAACACATATCCTTGCCGTAACTAGAACTATTCAGATTTGCAAGAGACCTTTTGATCTAGTTCTAGTGCACTTTATTGATGAATGTATTTTAACATCTACAAACCTATCTTGATCCACTTAAAAACAACCCGTTGCTTTTGCTGATCAGTCAAAATTGGGGTCAGACCTGTATAAAGCACCTGTGCTGGCTGACAGCTTCCCTGCTGAACTCACTATTCCAAAAACTGGGCTGGTATCCAGCACACAACAAGTGTGCGAGTGAGGAAGTTAACAAAATCCTCAACAGCATAAATTTCAAAAGCACTTTGAAACATGTGAGGAAAAAAGGATTCAACATTTACTAAAAGGAAACAATAAAAAAGAGCAGTAAAAAATTCTTTTGGTCTTTTCTCAAAAGTGAATACAAAAAAAAAACAGAACTACAAGGAAATGTTTGATATTGCTGCTTCACTTAAGAGCCTCTAACCTTAGGGATACTATAAATTAATCTTCTTTGTCCTCACCCATGTGTTTAGAAGTCTGCATATGCAGAATGATTCTTTGTTTTGATACAACTTTGTTTATTGCTGCACACAAAAACTAAATAAATTAATTTCTGTCTTCAACCTTATCATTTTGGATTATCATGCAACCATAACAAGCACATTGTTCCTTTATCCCAGAAAAATACATACCAGGGCGCGAGTTCAGCACTACTCTTTGTATAATCATTCCTGTTCTTGCAGCAATTTTACCCTGGGCCCCTAAAAAGGAAACATGGTTTGAAGAACCAAGACACACACAATTTCTTGAGAGAGAGCACAGGCCAAAGTACTTGGTAATTTAGAAATGGGGAAGAGGGCAGAACAGGGAATTGGGACATTTCAACACCACTAACAAATCCAGTGGGAAAGATAATATCCAAGTGTCTCCTAAACACTGATAACAGGCAGTGGCAACATCATTCTCCAAAAGGTAAGTGCTGCCTGGTGCCCGGGCTGCTCTCCAGCTACACTGCTGGCAAGTGCTGCAACAACAAGTTGCTTGCAAACCCCAACGTGACAGGATAAGAAACATCTGACAAATGTAGGCAAACACAAATAGGTCATCCAAGAGGAGCTACAACTGTTTTTAAGGTGAACTGCAGACCTTGTCCCCTTTCATTGGTGATGCAAGTGAAATCCTGTCCTTAATAATAAGCAGATACACTTCCACAGAGCCAGAATTTCACTTGTTCTTTGAGGCTTCTGTAGAAGTCCATGTTTCACAGATATCTGTCTCTGCCACAAGGCACAGGGGATTTTGAATATTTTAGATGATTTGATATGTATTGATATCCTCTGAAAACCACTGGTAAGCTGAATCCATAGGCTGACATCACTGACGATTTAAAAAGAGTGGGCCTCACCTACTTCAGTACTCATTCCAGGAATCATATGAAACAACATCAAATGAAAATAAACAAGCAACCATGAATAAAGCATTTCCTGCTTACCTTGTGAAAGGTGTTTCTTTATATAACGTCACAGTAGCGTCTTCTGGAAAGATTGAAAAACAAAATTAATGCTGCGAACATCATGTCTGCAAATATATTACATCTCTAATCCCATCAAGCTTCTTTTCAAATACTGAGAATCAAAAGATAAAGAAGAAATAGAAGTTTAATATTAAAGTATACTATTTTTAGTCTTCAAAGTTTTGCTTTACATTTAAGTATTTCTTTACAGTATTGACAACCCAAATTCAAGTAGAAATGTACTGATGCATGGAAACAAAATATAAAATGGATTGGTTTACTTTCAGTAGTAGAGACTAATTAGGAAAAGAAGAAAGGAAAAAAAGAGGAAAGGAAGATAATGCTTCAGTTTAGAAACATATGCTACAATTCACTTCATGGGTAACACATGTTACTGGACAGTAAAATACAGAAGTTAATAATTAGAGAGATAAATAAAAATCCATTAACATATCCACATAGATGATAGAATATCCAGAATAAATACATTCATGAGACTGCCTAAGAGGAACATAAACTTTGGGAAATATTAGGTTCAGCATCCTGTTCTGCTACAGATTTCCTCTGTGACCCTGGGCATGTCACTTTGTGCACTTTTTGTAAAATATTTTTCAAAACAAAATTACAGACTTCCATGAGGCCAGGTCTATGCTCACAAGGGCCCCTTCTGACTTCATAAATGTCAACTTGCACATTTTAATTTTATATTCCATGTCATTCCCAAATGAACTAGAGTGTAAACAGCTCAATTTTGAATTGCTGAGTACCTGAATCTTCCTGAAATAGCTAGACGGACAATATTAATGCAAACATTGCATCCAAGTAGTATGGTTGTCATCCACAGAGCAACTATCTTAGCACCTGGAAAATTGTGCTAATCTATACATTGTCAGATGTACCTAGTGCAGTTTAAAAGAATAACCATACTGGAGTAAGTTGCTTACGTATAGGACTTGGGTTAAGTGCACAGCCATTAATGAAATGGCTTTACGGAGAAAGAAGGAGCTAAGGATGCAGTGAATATAAACCAATCTGATTATTTACAATCAGCACATCATTCCTTTAGAAAGTATTAACACTCAGTAAAAATCACTCATGGTACTGAGATTGGTGACTAAAGTGTCACTCATTCTATGGCAGGTGTCACAGTAAAATACAATGCTAGAGATGGACTTTTACTTCTAAATATAACTGTCACTGCTCTGCAGCAAAAGATGACATTACATGAGCAAATGTACACACAATGTCATAATATAAAATGAAACAACCAAACTTTCCTCACGTTAAAAACAATAAATAAGGAAAATAATTAGATGTTCTATCCTTTAGTACTGTTTACACAGGAAAGCTTTTGAAGCAAACATTTTTCAAAGTGAAATAAATTGGATCGTATACATGATCCTTTTAATACACGTTTAATGCCTGCGTGAAGGACACTTTTGAAAGTTAAAATACCAGCAGCAAGCAACATACATTACCATTTACATTTTTTCTAACCAAAAATAGTTTCACTTTATTTTTCTCTTAAAATTAAATGGACTAGATAGTAATTGCAAGTTTAAAAACTGGCATTTACGCAAGTACCCTCCGACCTACTCTACGAGTGCAGCAGCAGTGTCTCCAGCTGAGCCTCAGGTATGTTTTATAGCCTAGTTTTATGCATTTCACCTTTCCCCTTCTTTCCTCATTTTTGCAAGCAGACACATGACAACTCCTTTTAAAAGATTTACGTAAGCTCCTCAGCACTAAAATGCTGCAGTTTATTTGTCCTGGGTTTGCTTCCTAAAAATGCCTGTTGCTGATATTGCCTGTAAGGCCCTTTTCTCAGTTGCTTATATTTTTGCCAAAATGATTCAGCTGCTTCCAAGCTGTTACAGGCCAGGCCAGGTCCAATCTTGCAAAGAAGGCAAGAGCAGGCAGTTTATCCCTCCTGCACCAGGCCCAGGCAGTGTGGGGGGTGACTGTAATTAATCCAAACACCAAACAGAAAAATAAGTCTGAAGATTGGACTTGCAGATTCTCAGAGGAAACAAAAATGATCAGAGAAGAATGATTTGAAAGCAGATAGGAAAGAGAAGGCCTGGCATTAAGGAAGAGAAAATTGGCAGAAATACCAACTTAAAGGCTAGCAGAGCAGGAGGAAAGAAGTAGAGAAGTGGAGAAACTGAGAATGATGGTGGAGATGGTAATACAGAAGATGGGAATAACTGGTCAAGAGCCTAGGATTGGGTAAAATATTGGTAACTACCTGGCAATGTGAGGAGAATGGAAATCAAAAAAGTAACCTGACATTATTAGCTGTAATAATAATGTCAAGTTAGCCCTATCTAGGGAATTAGATGAATGTTAATTAAGGGGCAAATTCAAACCTTCAAAAAAATGAGGAAAAGCCAGATTTAATATTGTCTGTGTCAACAAGGAATTTAAATGAACAGCCTAAGAAAAAGCAGTGTTTTCATGAACTGAACTAATGGATTCAGTTTTCCTAGCATTTTACATTTCATCACTGGGTTCTCTGGGGCTATTGAAGTTCCTCCTGTACCATTTTCTCCAACGTGTTTTCTCTGACACCCAATATGAAGTGAGGTCAGGTTACACTATATCCCTTCAAGAAAGGAGTAGGTGAGGGAGGGGGACCAGTAGCAGTTTAATCTTGATCCAGCCTTTTTTTTTTTTTCTTCTCTCTTTTCCCCCTTCTCTCTCTTGATACCCCTAGAAACCTAGATCAGGACTTCTAGCAGTGATAGATGTTTGTATCTACATGTCAGAGGATCGTATGAACTTTGCTTTTTGGGATCTGGTGCCAAACTCCAAAAGCTCTCTGCAATCTCTTTACAAATGTATATTTTCAAACTGCATTGTGTTGAAATTGCTTAAAACTTATTTAAAAACACCAACTCACATGACTGATTTCATGCGAGCAGCGTTCCAAGCCAGGAACGCACACAGGGGTGCAGACTGCTCCCAGGGCGCAAAAATATCTCCGTTTTTTCCTGAAAGGAAGCCAGGGGCACCGCGCACTGCCTCCCAACCGAGCGCAATCCCAGCAGCGCCGCCATCCAACTTCCTAAGGGCGACCGAAGGTCAGGCCAGGAATCGCCACTGTCAGGTGTCACTGGCCACCCGCAGATGACTCAAAAATCAAGAGTTTCGGGAAGCGAAGATGGAACAACGTAGAGGAAGCGACCCGCGGCGAGAGGCAACCCGGGGTGTTCAGCAGGTAGGCGCAAAGCAGCAGCCCTTGCCAGGTGCCCAGGACGAATCCCAGGAGAAGGGGACCACCCACGCAGCCCCGGCCACGCGTGCTCAGGAAGATCGATCGCACACTCCGATTTTGGGGGGGATGAGTTTATCTAATCCTGACGTTCTCTAAACCGCCCCGCTCCGTTACGGGCAGCGCAGCCGCGGGGCGCCCCCACTCACCCCAACCGCCGTTGCGCCGCCGGCCCCGCCCCACTCACCCCAACCGCCGTTGCGCCGCCGGCCCCGCCCCAACCGCCGCCTCCCTCCTGCGCACGCGCACGTGCCCGCCCCACGCGAGGAAATGGCGGAGGCCGCCGTTTGTGGGGATTTATTGTTTGTTTTTTTCCTTCTCTTTTTGGAGCGTTTTGTTCTTTGCTCTTACCTTGGAGGCACCTCAACGAGCAGGCAGGCTGATGGTTCCCTCCTGGGACGGCCTCGGACAGGAGGAAGGAAAAAAGTTAGTGACGGGACTTGCTCTCTCCCCCCTCCCCCCCCCAACCCCAGACACACATTTGCCTTTTTACTATATTTCATTTATTTTTAGGACTACAGGAAATAGCTACAAACTGAAGCATCAAAAGTTCCACAGGAACTTAAGGAAAAATTTCTTGACAGGGTGACAGCCCTGGAACAGGCTGCCAAGAATGGTTATGGAGTCTCCTGCTCCGGAGATCTTCAAAACCTGCCTAGATACAACCCTGTGCCACGTGCTCTAGGTGACCCAGCGTGTGCAGGCAGGTTGGACTGGATGGTCCCTAAAGGTCCCTGTAAGATCCCTTCCAACCTTAACCATTCTGTGTATTTTCCCCAACAAATTTGGTTGTTGTAATGTAGAATCTTGCTGTGATGCCCATGAATGAAGCTTCTTGGGCTGAGGTGTCTCTAGGTTTGACCAGGTGTATCTGTTGGGTGGAAAGCTTGTGTTCAAGTGGGTAAATGCTGACTTGCCTCGTGCTTATGCAACAAAAGAGCAGCACAATTATTACGGATATAATTATTTCGGAAATCAATTTTATGTGTCACTACATGAGCAAACAGGAAAAGATGGCTGAGTCTATTAATAGGGTACTCCCTGTTAATTGGGAAGTGGTGTATCTTAATGGCTAGTAGTAATTGAAGTGAAAATGGGGAAAAGGTGCACTATGCATGGACAAATTTGAAGTCATGCATAAAAAAAAATACCAAATACCACCTTAGATTTATATATATATGTGTGTGCGTGCATACAATTACAAAGCAAAAGGCTTGGTAAAGGCTGCCAAGGTCTCTGTGCATCCCCACTCTCTCTTGCCTGGCATGCATTGGCTCTTCATCTTCCACAAACAAGGTCATCCTGAAGCATGGTTACAGCAGTCATGTACCATATACTGCTTTTTTGGCCCTCATGCTCTCCTTCAGGCACTATTTTCTCTTTTGTTAAGTCCTGCCTACTTGGAAGTGAAGCTATTGTGAAATAAATGTTGTGAAATTTGAAGGTGTGAATTAAAAAGGCAGTAGCCATTCTGCACTGCCTTGCCTCATGGATGCACGTGCAACACCAGCGGTGCCTTTCTGTGATGTAGTGCAACCAAGCTAAACGAAACCACAGAGATCAATCCCTCAATGTGGAATAATGCAGTCCATGCAAGCAAGCCATTGTGGAGCGATTATTACGTAACATATTGTGGGTTATTACGATATATAAACAAGGCTACGTCAAGCTGGATGTCATCGCTTTGAATTCAATCAGCGAAGGGGCAGAGCTGAAATGGGGCAAGTGATGATGCTGGAAGGTGTCTGTGGTCACCGTCGAGCTGTTGCTGTGCACCCAAACAGGGAATGCCATTCGGTTGAGTGCAGGCCCTTGCTGGGCTCAACCGATACTTCCCTAGATGAGGGTTTTCTCTGAGATATCTAAGTCTGGAGACTTACTATAATTTTAGAAAGATTGACTTACTGTTTCCCTGTCAACAAATCTTCTTTTGTCCCTTGTTATTCAAATAATGAACCTTACATATAGCACATATACTGTAAGGCTTAAATGCTTTAAAAAAAAAAAAAAAAAAGTAATTCTGTTCCTTTTCCAAACTTTTCTGGGTTTATGGATCATATTAGAGTATAATACCAGTTTACTTTTTTACACATTTCCTTCTTTATATGTATCTCATAATCTTAACAGATGTGTTCCTTTTATTATTTTTACTTAATATATCTGGCAAATAAGTCTTTCTAAATCTGTAAAGATTAACAGTACAGGTGTTGGTTATATAATTAAAGTGCAGCAATGTTTGGCCATCAAAGAAAGGGAAAGGTTGCTGCACCCTTGGGTATGAAGGGCCCGTAGAGGCCAGGAAGAGGTGGGCTCCCTGTAGAGCACTTAGGCACAGTTTACTAGCCCTGTTATTTTTGTGGCTCTTTACTTGTAAAATACAGTTACCTGAAGCACTGTTGGATAAAATCCCCCAAAACTGACTGAGGACATTTTGCTTCATCACTGAATTCTTGTTTTCAAGCTTTCTGTTCCAGGATTTTCCTGGGCTTATGGAGACTCTGCAAAGTCCCTTTGGGAAGTCAGTACTTAACCTCACTGGAAAGATTTGTGCTTCTAGATTCTCATGCAAGACATCAGAGCTTTAAATCTTGAGGAGAAAACAAACAAATAAATTACTAGTGAGAGCATAGAGTTTTTTTTTTTTTTTTTTTTTTTTTTTTGAGTGCTTTTGGGGCTTCACACATTGCTTGCTTCAGAGCTGCTGGTTAAGACTTTCATCTCTTGCCTCCTAGAGCCTTCCAGCACATAGGGGTGAGCAGCAGCCAGCTATGAACCACTCTGATTCAAGCAGATCAGCTGTTGGGCTCTGCAGGAGTGGAAATGCAGAGAGACAAAGACTTTCACCTGTTTATCCTAAGGAGAAGAAGAGTGATCGGTAAGCACAGCTGGTCTGACTTTGTTCTAGGAAATTCTGCTTGTTTTCTATTATTGTGGGTGGTAAAAGGCTTTATTGGGCATATGAAACTTGGAAAATGACTGCTCTGCCTCTTAGGGAGCAGCTGCAGGGAAGGGGCAGGTTTGGGGAATGACTGGCAGTGGGTACCTGGCAGGTGGGAGGCACTGAGGCAGGACCTGCTCCAGGTGGTAGCTGTGGCCCCTGCACTGCTTGGCGGCTCCTGCCTGGTGTTCCCGCAAAGAGGTCACTTCAGGGATGCCCTTCTCTATGTGTGTATGTATATATGTATGCATATACACACACATGGATATATGTGTGTGTGTATGCATAAAAGAAATAATGAATATGGCTCCAAATCCTCCAGATACTTTTATACCATGTAACTTTATTATTTTATTAGTATTTATATCAATAAGACTAATAATCTACTTGCTTTTTTGGCACATAGAATTGTTATATTTAGCTGGTGGCATTAGAAATTCATCATCTATACTTGAGCTTCATTTTTTTTTTCTGTGCAATAAATAATTTAAATATTTTTTAAAAAAGCGCTGCTATTTATAATGATGCTGATAACAGAAATGACTTTTTTATAACATAATGTAGTCCGATACGTAGGTTACTTTTTTCAGTAGAAGACAGTGGAAATTCTAAATGTGCAATTTGCAAATGCATTTTAAATTTTATAATTTGCAGCAGGATTGCATTTTCGATGATGTATTTGGAAGAACAGAAATACCATGGACTCTTAAAGCAGAGCTGCATTTCCGTTTACACTAGGCCATCGGAAAGCAGTTCTTGCAGAGATACTCTTAACAGAAAACTTCAGGATTGTTGTTCTATATCGGTTGCTGTTAGTGCTAGTTCTAGACAATTGTTATGACATAAATCTTAAAACATTCTTCCTCTGATATGACAGTTTCTGTTAATGGGCTGGGTAGTATAGACGGCCCTTTTCCTGCAATAGTGATGATCAGTCTTGAATGTTGATTTCATTTTCCATATGAAAGAAAGGAGATACAAAGAGCTCTGCCTTAATATTGGTGTGTGTGTGAGGAGTGTAATGTACGTGAAGGAGAAAAGCAAGTTAAACCAAAGCACAACAGGGTATTAAAAGATACTAATCATAACTATTACATGTTTCAATAATAAATTTGTCTACTCAGACTGTTAAAGAAACAAGATAGATTATCGTCCCTAAAAATCCCTGCTGTCATGGAAGGTGCATGTTATATATAAAGAAAGAAAAACTATTCCAGCTAATTAAATTCCTGTATTTATACCTTAGCTACTACACTGAATTCAGTTGAGCTGTGACTATTGCTGTGTACTGGCTGCTCTCACTGTTTCTTGTTGTGGGTTTGTTGTTGTTGGGGGCCTAAGCTCATCCTTCCTGCCTCGGAGAGTTGTGTTCCCTGGGTTCAGGGCCATATTAAACATGGTACAGCTGGTGGCCTTGGGAATAAAGGGGAGGAGATGCCTCAGTGGAATCTACCTCCAAAACCGACCTTCTGAGAGCATCTGCTGCGTTTGTCTGGGAGCCTCTTTGAGCTGTGACTCTTGTTCCGGGCCTGGCACCGAGGTGCAGCCGCATTGCCTGGCCCTGGGCCCTGCTGCCTCTGACCCTCAGCGTTCACTGAGAAACCAACATCAAGCTGGAGACTGTAGCTACGTAAGGGGTTTTGAAAGCACTTCAACAAATTTCAAATCCCCAAGGTTTGAGCAATTATATATAGAATTTATACATATATGTATACATATATATGTATAAAACAAATCCAACTGCATGCAAGATGCAGTTGTTGCTATCTTGAATTCTGCTCTCCAGTTCTTGATTTTCTTTCACAGTTTTTTCCTCCTTTTTTTTTTTTTTTTCCTCTAATATTAATTCTACTGTTTGGAGTTTTCCTGATCTGGTGGAGAGCTTCTAATCCACATACTTTTTCCAAGGTATGCCTATATAATAATAGTTCACAGAGTTAATAAATGTCTAGTGCTTTATATTTTCAGAATGCTGGGTATACTCATTATTTCCTGTCCTGACATTTGCTCTCATATAGTAAGAAATATCATCTATGCTATATCCATGTAAGTAACAATGAAAGGGTTTTTTTTTTTTTTTTTTTTTTTTTAAGTTATTTCAGATGTCTTCATTTTATAAATCATCCTGCTTAAGGCAACTTGGACCTAATTTTTAGAAGGATCCATGCTGATGTTCAGTCAGGTTGAGCAAAAGGAAATATTTGGTGTCCTGTAGCTACCCACATAGATTAGTGGCCCTCGGGTGAGAGGACATACTGTGTT